TCTTATTCACTTTTCCCTAAATTCTCCCCTATTCAGATATTCCTCTTTTTTTATCCCAAGTCTTAATATTGGTTGGTTGTTGTATAGTAAAGGCGTTATTGGTTATCGATGCCGGTAATTAAGATTATATATAATTATATCTTCTGGTTGTGGATAATAGGAATAAAGTATAATTAAAAAGACGTGAAATACAAGTTAAGGTTATTAAAGTTTAGTTTTTTAAAGCTATCATATTAAGTAAAAGATTTTTTCATCATTTCCCAAAGCAGTTGATGTATTGGGTTGGCAAATAAGTCCTTTCGGTTTTTCATGGTGAAATAAAACTCAATGTATTATAGACATAAAATTTATTTTAATCTACAATATATTGACCATTATTTAATATGACTGTTTCCCATCTTTCCACTAACTGCATAATGCCATGTTATTGTTAAAAAACAAATCAAAGTAGTTTTTGATGTCTTCTTCCTTTTGGAATTTCTTTCCATTCATGGAGTTCTGCAAAGACCGGAATAAGTGGTAGTCACTTGGAGGTCCATTCCTAATTGGCAATTTATTATTTCGGATGCGATTTCTGATAATAATGAAGCAAAGAAGACAAACATACAAGGGGAAAATATAGAAACTAAAAATATATGAAATAGAGTTCTAGGAGATCCTGAAAATTCATTTTTCGAGGAGGATGTCAGCTATTGGTGCTTTTAAACTAATTGACTTGCAAATTTATGTAATACGTTTCAAGATGTTAAAAATTAAGCAAAATGAAACTTCTTTTTTCGAATTTACCATAATCAAACCTGAATATTCAATTTCTTCGCGGCACGAAGCCAGGCTTTTAAAAATTATCACTATAATTCTAGTTTAACCTTTTTTTATCAAAAATTATACCACTGGGAATGTAAGAATCTCAAACTAAAAATATCGTTGATTTATTTCAAAAAGTCATTAAGTATATTTTTGAGCTGAACGTTTTAGTGAATTTCGATTTTATTTATTGATGAGGGAGAAGAAGAAAAAAAGAAAGAAAGGAAAGATATGTCATATATATATATATATATATATATATATATATATATATATATATATATATATATATATATATATAAAATAGAAAAATAAAATATAAAATTAATGTCCTGGTGGATTGATAGGTATGCTGTGTACGAAGCAACCCTATGTAGTAGGGCAGCATTACTTTTAATTAAGTATTTCTCTCTCACAGTTAGTGCACCAAAATGATACAAAATGTTTTAAATATCGAATATAGTTATAAAAAGTTCTTCTAATTTCTAATTTAACATTGAAGAAATACGTCAAAGTTCTTTGTTATTTACGGTTTTGAAATGTCACTTAGGGATGCCCAAAGGGGGGTTTCATAACACCATAAAAATTATTGAGGGGGCATATTTTAACGTGTTTTGGAATTTTTGAGAGGGGGGAGGAATTTCGACGGAGTTGCGAATTTTCGGACTAAGGGACAAGGAGAAAAACATGAAAGATACCACACAGCAAATGTGTAAATTCCACCTTTGCTTACTCTGTTGTTCAGAAAATGTGAGCAATATAAAATATCTTGAAAGAAAGGGGGGGGGGGGAGATGGTAGGTTCTTGCACCATCGACCTTGGAAGAGATGCACGAGTGGGTCCAGGATTTAATTTTGGGGAGCTTCAGCTTGAAAGCTTTTTTTTTTCATATATACATATATATTTATATATACAACGATAATTAATTTGAAAGAAATTAACTATCTATATGATATGGTGTTCTTGAAGTCCTATTAAATGTAATTACACGAACAATAATACTTTAAGAGATAGTTTTTAATATTTTTTTCTATAAAACCTGGTTATATTTTACTATTTTGGAGAGGGAGGCTTCAGCCCCAAAAGCCCTCCTCCCCCCCCCCCCCCGTAGATCCGCCTGTGGGGAGATGGGCACTCCTGATGTCACTTGAGGTAAATGGACACCCATATTTTGAAATCGATAGGTTTTTTATATTAAAAAACACAAAAATAAATTCTGTTCATAGTTTTAAACTAAGAAATTACAAAATAAAGATGAATCAATAAAAAGTTCTAGCTTATCTCCTGAAGAAAAATCATAAGGGAACTTGCTTGAAACAAACTCCTGCCATGTTTTATAAAAAAAATCAATTGCCATTCGATTACTGTGGCATGTCACTTGAGGGTCAGACATCGCCCTCTTAAGTGTTTTAACTACAAATTCAATTATGCATTCGCAGTTATAAAAATTGATAAAATTTCGATAAAAAATTGATTAAATTTTATTTTATTTACCAGAGTGCTACTGCAAGCTAACCGGGTATTTTTTTGCCAGTTATGAAATGATATTCTAAAAACAACCGCACCATGAAGCGATCAAATTGTTCATTTGTTTTTTTCTGTTCCCAATTTTATTCTTCCGCTCCCTGACTTGTTTTTCAAAACTATGAATATAGTAAGCGGTCCAGTGATGGACATAGCTAAGAAAATTTTTGTCTTATGCCGCCATAATTATAACAGTTATAAACTTCTCCGTTTGACATTTAGAATCTCAAAATAGGGCCTCCTTTTTCTATTTAGCACTTTAAAATTGAAAAAATATTCGGTTATGTAGGTATAATCTCCATTAAAAAAAAAAAACATTTTTGTAATAGTGATGGAAACGCTAAACTTTAATTGTTCTAGTAATGGAGAGGGCGTCGGTACCAGTAATGGACATACCTCAGAAAAATTCTAAATTTTTAATTTAACTATAAAGATGAAGATAAACATAAGATAACATCAATGTTCAACTTACTCTAAGCAAAACTGTTAGTAGATAAGAAACACACTGATCTCTAGAGCACTATAAAAACAACAATGATAGACATTTTAACTTTGTCCATACAGTTGTCAATAGAGGGCATTGTTCTAGAAAATAATGAAACCTTTAAATCAACAAGGAAGCTTATTATTTACATTTAAAGTCCGACCTGTCCACAACAAGTGCATTCACACTATCGTCGATTGTTGTTATCCTATTTCTCGTAGGGTATCGTTAATATTTCTCGAGAAAATTTCTTTACTTCATGTAACATCCTCAATGCTCCCTACTTTGTAATAAATAAAACCATCCATAATGACCTTAATGTTTCTTTTGTTTCAGATCTGGCCCAAACCAGATACCTATCCTTCCATAATAAACATCATAACCATCCGAAACCTCTCTTTTCTAACCTTGCTTCCTCTTCAATTCCTGATAACCCTCTGAAAAGAAGATGGCCCTGTGATCTCCTAATGTAGACATATCATTAGAGTCCCACCATTGGGTAGTTGCTCAGCAAGTGTTTTCATGTCATTATATCCATTATGTTCAAATTTACTAGATGTATTTATTCAATACAGTTGTAAATATCATTAAGAAATAATAAAAAAAACTAAAAAAAAAAACTTCAGGTAACGTAATAATTTTAATGTTTTTTTAACAGTACAGACTGAGAAACATTTTAAAAGTTTTTTTGTAACATTAATAAGTAAATTTAAAAAAAAAAAACATTCAATGGAATCAATGTTATCGACATAAGAATCAAAAGAAATAGGTGTATGTGCTGTTTCTATGACAACGACAGTATTTACACTCCATTTTGGGCGTATAATGTTTATTATCTGTCAATGAGATGCAAATTATATATTATTACTTTCAAGTTTATTTATTATCAGCCAATTTTATACCATTTTTAAATTTTGTCAACTTAATTACTACACATCTAATTACGACGTTTCGGTCTAAGTCTAAATACTAATCATGTACCTGTCCTTTTCACTTATGCGAATTGCCTGCCTCCACTCATAATATTTTTATTTATTTTTTTTATCATGTCTACCTTCAATTATTTTATAACATTATTATTACTCAATTTTTTCTTATTAAATGAATCAATTAAGTTAAAATTACCTTATCATGTGTCACCGACATGTCATCAGTCTCATTTCTATTCAGTGACTGGTTATTCTTAAAGGAGTAGGGAAAGACTATTTATTTTAATACACAATGATTTTTCCCAATATTATATCCGGACCTGTTTTAAGTAAAATTAGCTAAATCAATTCAAATTTTTATTTTTTCAATTGAACTCGCGTAAAACGTATTCATATTATCCACGTCTGTATGATTATTTTCCGAGTTTTTTTTTAGTTTTAGTTATGTATATTGCATCCTTTATTTATACGTTTATATTCGTATTACTTTCATTATGCAGGATTTTGGCGTTTTTGAAATCAAATTTATGTTTTGTTTGCATAGTATGTTGAGACCCCCATACCAGACTGAAACGACTAGAAACCGCCCGACGTTTTCGACTACTTCAGCACTTACTAGACAAACGATCTAAGCTTTCAATCAATTATAAACGATTCGTATATATGACAATAATAAGACCTATTTGTACTTACGGAGTTGAGCTATGGGGCTCCACTAAACCATCGAATTCCTCTCGTATCCAATCCTTACAATCCAAAATCCTTCGTAAAATCCTCAACGCTCCTTACTTTGTCACAAATAAAATCATCCATAAAGACCTTAATGTTCCACATGTTTCCGATTTGGCCCAATCCAGATACCTGTCCTTCCATAACAAACTGCAGAACCATCCCAGCCCTCTCGTTTCAAACCTTGCTTCCTCCTCGATCCCTGATAACCCTCCGAGGCGTCTGAAAAGAAGATGGCCTCGGGATCTTCTAATATAGAACTTTAATTTGAGTTCTACCAATGAGTAGTTTCTCTTCATGTTGTACATGTCATGTTACCAATTTCACATTTACTTATTGTATTTTCTATGTAATACAGTTGTAAATTCCATTAAAATAATAAAATTTAAAAAAATGTATGTTGAGAGAGTTCAGTAGCTATTATTATTACTATAACTTTTGATATAGTACCTTAATGACTTTTTGCAATTAATCGATTAATACAATAAATGTAAATAATACGTTAGTAATAAAAATAATAAACTACATACCGGAAGATGTGAGGATGAGAGGGAGGAATAACAAGCTGATATATAACCCGACCATTCTCAGACAGGAACTCGCTGGACTGACCCTAAATAACCTGTTGATGATTTTTTGTGGAGGGGGGAGAGAAGTAATTCTCAGTATTTCTAGTTTTCAGCAAATCTGGCAGATCCAGTTCGCCTTGAGCAGCACTTCCAACCCGGAATGGACAAACGAGTATATCAACCTTCAGATTAACTGTGTTATAATAATAAATTAGAATATTTTTTGTTTTTAGGAAAACTATTTTATTTAAAACAACATTGCGAAATATTTAAACCAGGCTTTGATACCACAGCCCTGATAAACAGGCCCCTGATACCACTAGCGGATCTAGCATTTAATTTTTGGGATTCATCCCGAAAGTTTTTTTTTTTTCATATATATAATGATAATTACTTTGGGAAAAAAAAAAAGAAAGATACTAACTACCTATTTGAAATGGTGTTTTAGTGATTCTTGAAGTCTTGTTAAATGTAATTACATGAACAATAATACTTTATATAGAGATAATATAGAGATAATTGTTTAATTGAGGATCTACGGGGGGTTTCGGGCTGAAGTCCCCTCCCCCCAAATGGTAAATATAACCATGTTTTATGGAAAAATATATTAAAAAATTATCTCTTAAAGTATTATTGTTCGTGTTATTACATTTAAAATGACTTAAGGAATCACTTAAACACCATTTTATATTGATAGTTAGTTTCTTTCTTTTTTTCCAAAGTAATTATCGTCATTTTTATGAAAAAAAAAAGCTTTCGGGCTGAAGCCCCCCCCCCCAAAAAAAAATTAAATCCTGAATCCGCTAGTGATTGTGTTATATATTTTCATAAAACACGGTTACATTTTATCATTTTAAGGGGGGGAGGGTCTTCAGCCCGAAAGCCTCGTATATCTCTCTGTGCGTGATATAGGCCCTTTTTTTTTATCAAATTATAAACATCCGCCTGAAATTAGGTAAATATCTACTCGGTTGTTGTTGTGTTTTTTTTTTGCTGAAAATACAGGTATTCTGAAGTAAAAGAATATCAAATAACATATCTTTTAATACAATTCGAGGTGAATATCAACTCTATTCTGCAAAAAAAGCTAAATATATTGATATCCAATTAAAGCTTATTAAATAGAACAGTTTGTATGATAAGTACTATCATAATGAAATAACCATTTATATATTTGTTTGCCCTATAATTTGTGAAATGTCTAAATGCAATAAAAAAGCCATTGTCATAACTATTCAATGGGGACTTTGGGGAATTTGAACGGCCAAACTAAGCTAAGTTGTGTTTTTCATAAAATCATCGATTATTGGTGATGTTTTTATTTAATTTGACGCAAAAGTTTTAATAATAGGATTAAAAACATTTAGTTAGTTACTAAAAAAGGACCAATTTACACTATACATATCTGCGTAATAAACAATGGTTCATTATCACCTAAAGGTTCGTTTAGACATTTCACAAACTATGGGAAACACAATTATCTATCTTGACTAACAGCGACATTATTGATAGAACAAATTATTTATTTTATTTCTTTTGACTTCGTCAGCAGATGAAAAATATCAAAAAACAAGAAGCATAAGTACTGTCATAGTGAAATAACCATTTATATATTTGTTTACCCCATAATTTGTGAAATGTCTAAACGCAACAAAAAAGCAATATTTTGTAACATATTTTTTAATTAATAAAAAGAGTATTTTCATAATTAATTTAGTAAAATAAATGCCAGATCACAAGAAAATTAATTATTAATTCTCGATTGTTATTTCTGCTGAAAATACAGTCACTCTGAAGTGATAGAATATCAAATAACATAATTTTTAACACAATTTGATATGAATATCAACTCTATTCTGCAACAAATCCTAAATAAATTGATATGCAACTAAAGCTTATTAAAGAGAACAGTTTGTATAAAAGTGGTGTATTTGTAAGATAAAAAAAAATCGCAAATAATCCATGATTTAATAAAAGTACAACTTAATCTAGTTTGGCCTCTCATAAGTCCCCTATAAATAACTAAGACTAACTCAATTTGTTTGTATTTGAAGGAAATTTTGTCTAGTTTTCTATACAACAATTTTTAGTTACCTCAATGAAATATTTTTTTTTGTTATCGCTTCCTAATGAAGAGAAAACGAGATCACCTTAAGACTCCACTTCGACATTGGGCCACGAAGTAATCCACTTCGTTCGAAATAGGCTCATGTATCAAATGAAATTTTATTTAGAATCTTCTCCCTCCCAGAGTTTGGCAATTAAGAACTGCGACATCCTGTGAAAAGTAGAAATAGCTATTTTCTTTCATAGGGGAGTAAAGTAATAATCCATGGTACAGGCTCCTTTTTATCAAATTTTTAATATATGGCTAAAACTTCGTAAATAGCTTCATCTCATCCTAACCTAAAACGTTTTTATTTAAGAAAATTCTCAGAAATAGGGCGTTTTCAATTTGGATATTATTAACTAGTGATGGGCAAAACTATTTCTGTTTCTTACTAAATCCAGATTTATTTTTTTCAAAAATACCAGAAACATAAATACAAGAAACAGGGTGCTTTGACATTTAAGCATTTCCAGAGAAACAAACATGGCGGGCGTTGAAAATCGCATTTTCCCTGACTTATTTTATTTTAATAAGATACCAAAGGAAGCAAATGCAAATTAATGAAGGCTTAAAAAATATTTGTGAAAGATGGTGGATGAAGAAAATTTCATTCATTATCGTATCAGGAACCATTAAATCCTAAATATCTCAAGCAACACAAATAGTAAAAAAATGTTTAAAAGAGCACACTTATCCAAACTTCCTTTTGATTTCTCTTGAAAAACCGACAGCTAATGGAAAGATACAAACAAGACGCAATAACTCTAGCCAAGAACAACAAACGATTTAGACATAAGTGTTTCTCATAATTTGTGAAACCTCTAACGTTTGGCTATTAAGAACTGCGACATCCTATGAAAAGTAGAATTAGCGATTTTCTTTCATAGGGAAGTGAAAGTAATAGTCTGAGGTACAGACCCCTTTTTATCAAATTATTAACACCCATCTGAAACTTCGTGAATAGCTTCATAACATCGTAATCTACAAATATTTTATTTAAGAAAATTCTCGTAATTGAGGTGTTTTCAATTTAGAGTTCGGCAAACTTTTTCTATTTAATTAGATACTAAAAACTCGTAAATACCCACTTGTTTTCCACTAGGATCGTAAGATAATTTGATCACAAAATCAATAAAAGGCCTACAAAATTATTCAGCCGTTTGCCCTATATAACATCGTTATTTTGACCATTTGGTGGTTTAGGTCACGCCAAACGGCTCAATATTTTTGTAGGCCATCTTTTTTATCAATTTTGTGATTAAATTTTCTTATTTACCTAGGAATCCACCTGAATAAACCTCTAACTTGGAATCCTCATACCAGACTGAAACGACAAGAAACAGCTCGACGTTTCCGACTACTTCAACACTTACTATACAAACGCTCTAACCTTCCAATTAATTACAAAAGATTCATTTAGATGACTATAATAAGGCCTATTTGGACATACAAAGTTGAGCTATGGGGCTTCACTAAACCTTCAAATTCCTCTCGTATCCAATTCTTAAAATCCAAAATCCTTCGTAAAATCCTCAATGCTCCTTAATTTGTTACATATAAAATCATGCATAATGACCTTAATGTTCCTTATGTATCAGATTTGGCCCAATCCAGATATCTGTCCTTCCATAATAAACTTCATAACCATCCCAACCCTCTTGTTTCTAACCTTGTTTCCTCTTCAATTCCTGATAACCCTCCGAGGCGTCTGAAAAGAAGATGGCCCCGTGATCTCCTAATATAGACACATTATTGGAGTGCTACCAATGGGTAGTTTCTCTTCATGTTGTACATGTCATGTTACCAATGTCAAATTTACTTGTTGTATTTTTAATGTAATACAGTTGTAAATTTCATTAAAGTAAAAAATAAAAATGAACTTCATTCTTTCGAACAACCTTTTATTCGAGCACAAGAAAATACAAGTTTTCTCCCGGATCCAATTTCTATTCAGTTCCAATAGATCTGGTCGCATTGTAACCTCCAACTTCTTTAATGAACTTAATTATGCAAAGTGATGAATCAAAAAAATATCTTTCATTCATCCATTCATAGTCTCCTTGAAGAATCCATGCGATTCATAAAACTGTTTACGATAATAATTTGTATATTTCTCATTAGAAAGAGTAGTTCTTTTCTTAAAATAGCTGCTATTGGGAAGGTTTTCATGAAGGAAGGTACTAATTATCTGGTCCCCGATTAGATCGGAATCAGAAATTATTCTGAGTTTTTTTTTTTTCTTAGGGAACTCATTTCCAAGCTGCAGGGCCATTTATCTAAAGGGGACCTATGAGACGCCAAACTACATCAAGTTGTATTTTTAATTAAATGATGGATTTTTTGCGATTTTTTTTTATCTTACAAATACACCACTTTTATACAAACTGTTCTCTTTAATAAGCTTTAGTTGTATATCAATTTATTTAGGATTTGTTGCAGAATAGAGTTGATATTCATATCAAATTGTGTTAAAAATTATGATATTTGATATTCTATCACTTCAGAGTACCTGTATTTTCAGCAGAAATAACAATCGAGAATTAATAATTAATTTCTTCTTTTTCTTGTGATCTGGCATTTATTTTACTAAATTAATTATGAAAATAACTTTTTATTAATTAAAAAAATATGTTACAAAATACTGCTTTTTCAAAATTGTTTTATCTAATAAAGTTGCGTTTAGACATTTCACAAATTATGGGACGAACAAATGTATAAATAGTTATTTCACTATGGTAGTATTTTTGTTTTTTGTTTTTAGATATTTTCCATCTACTGGCGGTGTCAAAAGAAATAAAATAAATAGTTTGGTAGCAATAATGTCGGCGTTAATTAAGTTAGATAATTATGTTTCACATCGTTTGTGGAATGTCTGAACGCACCTTCAGGTGATAATGAACCATTGTTTATAACACAGATATGTATAGTGGAAATTGGCCCTTTTTAGTAACTAACTAAATGTTTTTAACCCTAATTTTTATGTCAAATCAAACAAAAACACCACCAATAATCGATGATTTTATGAAAAACACAACTTCACGTCGTTCAAATTCCCCAAAGTCTCCTTTGAATGGTTATGACAAAGATAAACTCAACTTGTATTCAAAAAAATTTTTGCCTAGTTTGAAGAAATTAGAAATAAACTGAATTTTTGTGTTATTGCTTACTTTGAAAAAAAAAAATCTTAAGAAATGACAATATTGAACCTAACTATTTTTTCGTTCGAAAATTCAATGTTCAACAACTTTTTCCCTAGGGAATTTTTTATATAGAACATTATTATCGCTAGAACATCTAGTAGTTTCGCTGATTTAAGCGGTAACTGAAAAATAGTGAACTTTTTTACTTGAAATCCCTAGTTAAATAGACATAGTTATTATTACTATTTTTTCTTCACTAATATTGTTGATTCCTTTGTCTCAAAGAGATGTCCACCATGCGGCAAAAGTTATCTCTTTCCAAAGTCAAGCGATAGATCTAGCCATTTATAGATTTATCCTGTCATTTTAAGGAGATGCTGACAGTCCTATACTTTATGGCTACAACATGATTGTCCACAGTGTCCGAGAAAAGATACCTCCTTTTGTATCTTGAGCCGAAAACTAACATCTTCATCGGAAAGGCCCTCACTCGTCCCAAAAGTTTATAGTTAGCACATGCTTGGTGCATTATTACTTTTAAGAAAAAACCAACTCTCCCACAGAAATAGTTAAATAATAGCCATCCCCTCCTTTACCATTTCCTATATATTGAGCTCAAAAATATCCTAGAGACAATTCCAAGTCAGGCATGTAACATTAGTTTAGGCCTCACAAGGATAGTTTGTAAATAATATCAAATCAATAACTTAAGTATGTCAATGTAACTTTATATTTCACAATAAAAGTAAATTTCAAAGTCTTTACTGTTGTACGAGTTCGTTAATTCCCGTGTATGGGGTTACTTACTATTATTTGATATCTTAGGAGAGTAACTTCTATAAATTTAATGAGGTACTAAAACCTCATAAATACCCATAAGATAATTTAATCATATTTGGCCGTTTGACCTAGATAACCTCGTTATTTTGACATACTGGGGATGGAAGGTCATGCCAAATGGCCCAATATTTTTGTAGGCCAACTTTTTTTTTTAGATTTTTTAATTAAATTTTCTTATGATCCAAGTGGAAAAGAAAGGGATATTTATGAGTTTTTAGAACCTCATTAAATTAATTAATTTAATATAAATATACAAAGCTATCAACCATTTAAATTTATAGAATTTACTGTCCTAAGACATGAAATAGTTAGTTACCCCATACCCTGTACTGGATTTCAAGTAAAAAATTGGAATTTACGATACAAAAGTTCACGTTTTTTTTTCGGCTCACTGCTTTAATCAGTGAAACTAATCGTTCTAAAAATAATAATGTTCTACATGAAAAATTCATGAGGAGAAAAGTTGTTGAACATTAAATTTTCTATAGAAAAACTTTATGTATATATTCCGATATAATGAGAAAAAACTTAATTTTTGTAATTACAAGGGTTTATTATATTTGTATATTATAATATTTGTTATTAAGCCAACTTTCCAAATTTTTATTAAGGCAAGGCAAATAACTCTCTTGAGTTCAAAATAGGCAACTTTCTACTTATTTATGCAGTGGACTGCATTTTGATGAAATGGCAGGTTGTATGAATTGTGCAAAAACAGCTTACCATTTTTATGGTGGTATGGACCTGAGGGTGCCCACGGTGCAGATGTTATCTCTGGCTTGTTCTGTGATGGAATGGCTCGTCGTACGGGGAGCTGGTACGGATTAAATTTTATCTTTTAGATCATCTGATCTGCCCCCATCACTCACCGTATTGAGACAATTGGGCACAACCGCTTCGCACAAACATATCCCCTTAAGGCACAAACGAGAGGAAAGTTGCTTGGTTTACAATAAAGAAAGAGTGAAATTATTCAAAATTAATTTTTGGAAACTTAGAAATAAAGTGAGATAGAGCAAAGATAGGCTAATAAACTACAAATAATTTAAAATAAAATGACTCCTCATTAAATTTAAGCAAAAAAAAAGAAAAACATATTCATATAAAAAAAAGTTTCTGCAGAAGGGAGAGGCACTAACTTGTGCACCGGTCGCACCAAAGTGGCTGTAGCTCTCCTCTCGATAAACAATCGACTGGATTCTGTTTTATAGGAATATATAATGCCAACAACTAAGTTCTGTTACTTCTAAAATATGTACTACACGATTGGCAATATAAATCTTAACTTCATGTGGTGATGTCTGTAACCAATAGAATACGTGAGGAGAATTAGAAAAATAATATACTTCCTCAATTTGCAAATGACTTTTAAGTTTGCCAATACACGCAACTAGTCTGTAGGCAAGAATAGCTTGCAGCTTGCAGCAAGAAGAGCAGTGGATCGGCTGTGAAGATTCACTTCTCCAAAAAAACATAATGTTTTGATTAGTTTCAGCAATGCGGATACACCTAAACATCATTCTTCACGTTAAGGCCACAGGAAAGGATCTAAAATGTTCTATAAGTTCTGCAATATCAGTCTAGAGCTGCAGACCGGTCAAAAGCAAATCATTGAGCAAGTTCCCTCCAACCATCTTCTCCGAACTGTTAAATACGACTCTAAGCTTTGTCGTGAAAGAATCTTTAATGGCTCCATGATGGGCCATGACATATGGAGAAGAGTTTATGGTGAGGCGGACATGATCCAGTCTTACACATTCGTCCATCTGTGCAGCTTCGGGCAGACTTATATTCCGGATCTCTCCTAAATCTATTTTCCAGATTTCTAAATCTGCGTAGAACTATTTCTCTCATGGAATCAAGGCTAATCAGCAGGTCGGAACAGAATGGAAACAACGAATCTAGCCTGGATATCACAAGTGCATGTATTTATAAAATGATCTTCGCAAAATGCATCTTCAGGATTCGGCAGAATCGAAACTGTGACTTCCTCGGTCCCCGAAAATCGCTTTAATTCCTCCTGTAAGGAAGGGCTGGTCTGCGTAAAAAGAGTGGGTACTGAATGTATAGGGCTATGGCTTTCTGAGAGGGTGTCCCCAAATAATAAGCATCCTAATGAGGTATGGATAGCTTTCGGTTGACCTTTCAGAATTAAAACAGGGTCACCATACCTCAGCATACATCTGAGCACCCAGAAGCAGATCAACTTTTCCCAGCGTATGAAATTGATGGTCCGCCAATTCAATTGAAGCAAATCTATTTAAGTATTTAGCAGCTTTAAGAAATCAGCAGCTTTAAAATTGCAGTTCTTAGTAAGTGCATCAAACAGATATTTTCATATTTTCTCACTTTAATAAAATTAATAACAAATAATTAACAGGTTTCAGGATTTGTGTAGCAATCATCACTTCATTGCTGGTTAATCAGCATATGTTCTTGTAATAATGTAGATATTTACTAAATAACCTAATGCTGGATACTGACCTTCCTAATCCCCATAAATTCAATTAACCACTAATTTACTTGCTTATTTTAAGATTATAAACAAAAATAATAGTAAAAAAAATTAAGATCATTTAATTATCTTGGTCTTTTTGTAAGTTTACAATGAAAAGGAAAAATAAAATAAGTGTTATTGGGTATTAAGCCATAGTACATTGTTATACACAATATAAATAAATGATTTTTTTTTTATTATTACTTAAGCCAGAAACTCTAAACTCTTTAAAATAAATATAAACTAAAATTATTTTATAAAAACAATAACAATAACAGCAATAATGATAAAGATTTCTAAAAATATAATAATTAAAATACAACAGTTACTTAACTGTTTAAAATAAATAGAATTTAAAATTATTTAATCAAAACAAAATAATAACAGTAGTACGAAACCATACTTTCAAAGAACATAGACATTTATTTATTTAAGAAATTTCTAAACACCTAATAAATAACAAACTAAAAAGAATTAAAAAAATAAATTATTATAATTAAACAGACTAATCAATGCAAATTAATATATACTACTATGTAAGTGGAAACAACACTCTACAAATATTTAAAGCAGAATAAAGAAATAACCAATCTGAATTTGATAACTTAAATCAATTTAAATTCATCCTCCATCTGATATCAACAAGATGTTATAAAAATATCTGCTGGATGAGGACTGGTCTGATGGAGATGGACTAACTTACGCTGCCATAAGTCTAAAAATAAAATAATTAATAAGTATAAATATAAAACGTATTTTAAAAAGTTTAATATGAATAAGAAAGAAATGTTATTTTATAAGTATATCACAATAAATTCAAGCTTCACGTATTAAAGTTGCTAATTCAGGAAATATTAAAATACTATTTCGAATACCTCGGCTCTACAATAACCTCAATGTATGACTAACAGTCAGAAATAGACTAGCGTATAACAAGAGTAAAGACAGCTTTCTTCTCTCATTCAAAGGTATTTAAATCCCGAAAAATCTCAATGATCTAAAATTAAGGATATTATGACAAAGCCAGTTCTCATATACAGCTACGAGATCTGGACCCTAACCAGCATCCTAGAAATAAGTACTGAAAGATCTGAGACGAAAATCCTCGGCACGATAATCAGAGCAATCTGGGTTCAGAATACTAACAGCTGATTACAGAGACTGGTCAATCAATATAACATAATATAAAGACAAGGAGGTTAAGATTGACAGGACATGTAGCTCGGACCAATCCATCTGGAAGCCTCTACACAACAATGATTGCCTTAATACTAGGCTGTAAATAACATGATAAACGTTTAAATGTAAATAATTTGTTTTGGCAGGAATTGGCGAATAGCCTTCCGCTTTTAGGGGAACTAGGTTATTTACACTCGTGATTATTAATACAAAACCCCGGCACTGGGTATAGACTTTTTGAGGGTGTTTAACTGTTGTTGGGAATTCGGGAATCTAATACCTTTTGTGACACTGAGTGACAAGAAACAATAAGAACATATATATATAATGTGGGACTGAGTAAACATACTTTGAATGAATTGACTCACCTGGTTTATTCTTCAATCATGAGGCATGTAGGACAACTAAATAAATAAATGACTTTTCATTCCTGTATAATAAAACAATTTATTTTACAACTGTAATAAATGAATGTATACAAGTCTTATAACTGTAGGCTTGCTTTCTTAGTCTTCTATGTAGCATCTCTCTCTTCTGACAACCTCCTTTCTTCCTGTCCAGGCCTAGCTTTCTTAGCGTCCTCTCGCCTCCGTGTCCTAGCCTCAAGTGCCCTTCTCAGCGTCCTTCTGCCAACTGTTGCTAGCTACCTGCTCTGACCTTTTTCCAGCGTCCTTCTTCATCGATTGTTTATCGATATGAGATATTTCCATTAATAATTTGTCCACTGCATAATTGAGTACAATTCATCGTGCAACCTCACATTTCTATATATTATATATTCCTTCTCATTCCCTCACACAATGTCACATAAAGGAGTAAATACCAGGGGATGTCTACTACAAGGCAAAAGATCACTTGGAAGGCTAAACAGCAGATAGATAGAATCAACAAATATGCAATAGAGCTGCATGCAGATAACTAGAAAGGAATAGCCCGAGGCAGGCAGAGTTAGAGCAGGATGATTAAGGAGGCTGCAAAAGATTAACAAGGTCTGTAATACCAACAGAACAGAAAAAAAATACATAGATCACATGGTGTAATACTCAATTAGTAAGTGAAGCCAATATGTTTGAAAAATAGAATGTCATGTCATGGAGTATCTAATGAGATAAACTTTTATAGAGATAACTTGCATTATCACTAACAAAGAACAGTCACGAAACTATGAAATGCCTATCTTCCAAGGAGAGCCTCGGGAAGAAAAGATAGAATTTAACATTGCTTTTACTCGACCTCAGATTCTTAGCCACATTTTATTTTTTGGATGACAGTTTTGTTGAATTCGGTATCAACACAAACAATAAAGTCACAAAAAACAAGCATTTTTTTTTTCATCAATAAAGATTGTAACAATTATAACAAAAAAGTTTCTAAATTTTCTGATAGATATTTGCAAAAATAATTAGTGCTAATGAAAATTAACATAAAATGAATCATAAAACAAACTCTGTATTAACTCAAATAATACAACAAATATAATTACAATTATATTAATTACAACAAATATAACAAGATTAATAATTTTACATACCAATAAGACGTACAAAAACTTTAGCTGCTTCAAGCTTTGTTTTAGAAATATCACATACGTCTATGAATCTGATTATTGTAGTATCCATTTGAGTACAAAGATCAGTTATTTTAATAAGAACTTCGTCCAAGCTAATCAAAGAAAATAAATATTGTTAAAAATAAAAAATGCATGCTTTTTATCTGATATTTTCAATTAATACAATTTAAAACAAGAGAAAAAAGTTTCATGAAAGAAACTAACAGTGTGTCCCCTCCACAAATATCCAGAGTTCCATATAAAACGCTATTTAGAGATATTTTTTTTTTTTTTAGTGACACCTTTCGGCGTGTTCTGTAGATTATGTGAAGAGTGAATTAGATTGAACTATACTGATCTGTAATGCTCGGATAAAGTCAGCTGGAGTCGACTAAAAATCGGACCAGCATATTGTTAGAGAGAGAGAAATGTTCATCATTTCATCCTATTCATAATTATCTTTTGTTCAAAATTACATCTTAATGCGACTCCGTGTTAGTGAGGTGAAAAGGAAAAAAAATAGTGTCCAAAACCAAATAATAACAAGTTTTATTGAAGACATGGATTAAAGTATCTCAGGAACTAAAAATCGGAGCTGCATACAATAAGCGAGGGAAATGTTCAGCATTTCATCTTCTTTATAATGAGCTATTATTTATAATTCATTGTAATACAGACTTTAATTGAACGTTGCTAAAAATGATTTAACAAATTAATATAACAGTTAAAAAGCAAGCTAATCTAGTTTCATTAGTACAGGGGAAAGAAAATAGCTGCTATGTAGTTTCTCCAGAAAAGAAAATCCCAAAGAGGAGAGAGGACAGACAAAGGATTTTGTTTTGGCAAGCAGTTGTTGTTTGGCTACAGTAAAGAGAGGATAGGATAAAGGATCCTGACTCTAATGGGTAAAACTCACTAATAGTATTACCATCTTGGAAGTTGTTATTTGGCAGGGAGGCAAATTGCTTGGAATTACAAGAGAGAGGATCTCCCAGGGAACTTGAGTTGAGTAGAAACAAGTGTCGCCATTTTGAAAGATATGTTTGGCACAACATAAGAAAATCATGTTTTGAAAAGTCTTTTGATTAAAAAATTCCAACATGTTAGAAATGTTCATAATTCATTTTTCATGTTCGATTTTAAGCTAAAAATGTCTCCAATTTTTAGTTAAACTTTCTATTAAATAACTTTAGATAAAAATGTAGCGATTATTAAGAACAGAAACGGTCCACTAATCCTATAAAAAATAAATTCAAAATTAAATAAAAATTTCTAAATAATTATATCACCTCATTGAAACCCCCTTCGTATAAATTCTTTCAATGCCATTTTCATCTAGTGTTTGTGGAAAAGATTGTCTTCCATCTTCCAAATTTAACGGTAATGAAGCTTCTTCAAAATGTTGTGGCTGAAAGAGAATAAATAGCTTGATAATAGTATAAAGTAATAATCATGTGAAAAATTAGATTGTAATTGGGAAAAATTCCAACCACATTTTTCCAAAATGCAGACAAAGAATAAAAACCTGTCAACGTTTTGCAAATCAGGCATCATCAGAACAGAAGAAGAAAAAATCAACAGTCACGTACATAGAAATTGCATCATCTATTTCTTTTGATTCTTATGTTGATAACGCTGATTTTATAGAATGTTTTTGTTTATCTTTACTTATTAAGATTGCGAGAAAACTTTAATAATGTTTCTCAGTTCAGTTTTAACTAATGTCAGGATAAAAGCTGTAATTATGACTTGTATCAAAAACTGACTGCGCCAAAAAACATTAAAATTGTGAAGTTACATGAAGTAAAAGAATTTTCACAGAAAATAGTAACAAGAATCGGGTACCACCAGTCAACGGTAGTCCTAGTTTTTAAAAACAAAAAAAGGACTGGAAGGAGAAAAAAACAAATGATCAATTCGACTGCTTAATAGTGCAATTGTTTTTACAATATTGTTTCAAAACTGGCAAACAAATATCAGGAGATCTTGCAGATAGCGATCTGTGAATAAAATTAAATTTAATAAAATTTTAAATGGGTGATACATTTCTATGACACTGACTGTAAGATCACATCAATCCATGAAATCCAACCGTGTACTAAGAGTATGCGATTGAATATCATGGATTCCAATTCATTTTAAGTGTATTCACCCATTCCATTTCATGTTTACTTATTATACACACCACAACTACTTATTATGTCACTTAAGAATTATTTTCCCGAAGTCCCATCTGCAGTGGACATCCTCAAAAAGTTTTATTCAATGGCGGGGTTTCGTTTTAGAATAACTCTATTTACTGCTTTATGTGACATTGAGTGAGGGAATGAGAAGGAGTGTACAGGAATGTAGGTTTCACTATTTATTGGACTCAATTGCGCAGTTGACAAGTTGTTGAGTGAAAAGTACCAAATGAATAAACAATTTATGAAAAAGATACAGCAGAACAAAGAAAGGAAGAAGCTTGCAAAAGTGTCTGGCAGGTGGCAGCAGCTGGAGAGGGATGCTGGAAGGACGAAGACTTCACTTGAGGCGACGACATGAAGACGGAAGTACATGACAGCAGGAAAGAAGCCCAATCCATTGAAGATTAAGAAGATCAAGCCTGCAGTTATAAGACTTCAATAGATTCATTCATAATAGCTGTTAAATCAAACTATCTTATTATACAGGAGTGGATAGTTCATTCATACACAAACCAGGTGGGACAATTCATTTCAAAGTGTATTTGCTCAATATAAATATTCTTATTAATTCTTGCCACTCAGTGTCAAAAAAACATTAGGTTCCCAAATTACCAACAGCAGCGAACATCCTCAAAAAGTTTATATCCAGAGCCGGGGTTTTGTTTTAAAAAGTAAAATTCACGAGTGTAAATAACCAAAACCCCTAAAAAAACAAAAAGATTTTTTTACAATTGACGAACAAACTCTACGAATGGAAAATGTGTCTCTCAAATCAACCATAATGCTATCGAATCATTTAAACATAGATTTATATATTAAAAAATATTTTACATAACGATTACCATAGATGTTCGTGGAGTATAGTCCAAAGACAGAGCTCTCATCAGCAACGATAGATTTCGAATTTCATCAATTTCAGAAGCAGGTCTAACAGCATCCACCAAATGAAGATCAGCTGATGACATAATCTCAGACGGTCTTTCCAAATCTATTCTTAAAACATCAGCATCAGTTCTTCTTTCTTGGGGAGCATCTTCATCAGCTCTTCTTTCTTGGGGAGCATCTTCATCAGTTCTTTCCTGAAGAGCCTCATGACGATAAACATCGTCCTCTGTGATTGGAAACTCAAAAAGTGGAATTTTACCTGGTTCTGTAAGATAATATCTAAATTGATTTTAAGAAAAAACAGAATAGTCATGAATACATATAGTTATTTTTTCCATAACGAATACCATTTTATTTTAATGTTTTCTAAATACAACTTCTGTCTGTTTCCTGAGGTGAAAACTGAATTAAAAGGAAGAAGCTTTGAGTCTGTGGAGTAAGCTCTGAAAGAGAAATTAGCATGTGTCCTGAAGGAGTAGACAGAATGACCTCCAGCACTGTTACAGACAATGCAAGATTCACATAGAACAATGTAGGAGTAGAGGAAGGATGTATATTGAATGAAGGTGAAAATAAGTGAATAAGTATCAACTCAAAATACACTTGATAGCCACATATCATATATATAAAGGGTGGAATGGGATAACGCTGATATATAATGGGCTAATTTAATAAAACAAATATGAGTTTGCAGTCCATTGCTGAGGGGAGGGGAGGGGGATTTTAACTCTGGCATTAATCTTCCGCCCTCAACCCCTGGTCTAGGAAAACCCATATAACCCCTGGGCTATCAAGGAAGGGGAGGACGAAAAAAAAGCCACACATTCTATAGGGGACACGGTGTAAAATACACGTTGCCTGGCAACCTGATGAACCAAAGATTTCAAATCCTGGTGCCAGAGGAACTTCCAACATAATTCCCTCACCCTCTCCCCTGACCTAGGAAAAATCAAACTCTATATTATCATTCACCATTTAGTTTAAATATGGTAGCAGATTAAAGGCTTCGTTGACTAAAACTTTGAAGGTACAAACATATTTTTTTTAGAACCATTGACTAAAAAAAATAAAAGCAAAAATTAATACAAACCTCTTAGTAATAATTAGCAGAATTTTTAACTAGAGCAAAAATAACCAAGAAAGATAAATTGTTTAAAGATAGGTAAGTAGTCGACTAATCAATTATAAGAACGAAACAATATTTGACAGGAATGTCAGTCACGATATTTTTATTAGGTTAGGGAACGTTTCGACCCACATGTTTTGGGTCAAAACATCGGCTAACCTAATAAAAATATCTTGATTTAAATTCCTGCCAAATTTTGTTTCATCCATAAATTGTTTAAAATTACATTAAGAACCTTCCTCCTAAGAAAATAAATAATAAAAAGTAATATGATGTACAGACCCATCCCATATTAACAAATTATTAATATTTGTCCAAAACATCATGAATGGCTTGCTTCATCTTTTTTTATTAATAAAAATTCTCAAAAGTGGGGCATTTTCTCATTGAACTAATTAGGTACTAACTATTCCTAAATACCCATCTGCTTTCCACTTGAATAATAAGATAATTTGATCACAAAATAGAGAGAAAAGGTACAAAAATATTGGTCTGTTTAGCCTATATAACCTTGTTATTTTGACATGTTGGGTATGGAGATAACTCCAAATAGCCCAATATTTTAGTAGGCCACCATTTTTTTCTCAATTGTGTGATCAAATTATATTAGAATTCAAGTAAATAGAAGCAAATAGTTGTTCATGAGATTTTAGTACCCCATTAAATAGACAACGTTTACCGATCTCCATATTGAAAACCCTCGGTTGAAAAGTCCCATTTCCGAGAGTGTTCGTAAATAAAAAAGTGGTAGGTTATGATAAGATGAAGCCATTCCCAAATATTTAGAGATATGTTAATAATTTGATAAAAAGATGACTTATTATTCAGGGTACTTATAATGATAAATTATTCAGGGTATGTAGAAAACAACTTACCAGCCTGTGCCAAAGGTTGGTCTCTGTAAAAAAAAAAGTAATAATAATAACAAGTATAAATATAAGATTCTTTAACAATTAAGTAATCTACATTAACACATTTTTAAATTAACAGAGCATTCAATAAAGATACAATAATACATTGTATCGATTTACCAAATGATAAAAATAATAAGGTAGTCTAAAATACGTTTACCATAGTCTAGTATGGTAAACGTATTACTAGTATTATTTACCCAGTACTAATGGGTCTGTTGGTACTTTTTGCCATATCAATAGACAAGTTGTTCAAGTTGTTAAGTCCATAGAAACTATTGTTAATTTTTTAATATTATCTATAATTTTAAATATGGTTTTAGTTTAAACTAAAGAAAGTTTCATTTTTTTTAAAGAGTGACCATTGTCAATTGACAAAGCAAATTTAAATAGTTTTTCATAAAAATATAAATTTTTATTTTGAAAAGTAAGCAATTGGTGATGTTATTTTTAAAAGATTAATACAGATTTATTGTAAAGTTATATTTTAAGCAAATATAGGTAAAACATTTTTCATTCAGACCTAGTGCCGAAACATCCACATAAATTAAAATTACAATATAATAACAATTTTTGGATACAAGGTCAAAGAACTTTTTATCTATTAATATAACTTATAAGTGTCCCAATCTATACATAAAAAAAAAAATCTTTTAAACTGGTTTGAATTTCTCTTTACCTCAAATAGAGAGGGATGATGGGTACCGGGATCTGAAACAAGAAATAACAAATTATGGAATTACTTTAACCAGTTTTTAAATAACAAAAATTTATTAAAATTAAATCTGCTATTATTCTCTAAGTCCAAGGTTCAGTTTATCATAAAATTATAAAAACACAGGTCAAGATATCAAAATCACTAACTGATATAAAGATATTAGACTATAACTAGGATAGCTCAGGGCTCAAAATTCAATCAGAATTACAATAAGCATGGTCACATCTTCGAGCTCCTTCAATTCAAATCCTCTATTCGTTCCCGCATACTCGTTCCCGGTCTTCAGATTTATACACAAGGGCCAATCGAACCGCTGCTTTCGACAGATCATTCATTATTCAATCCTCATCCCTATGGAACTACATCCCATTTAACATCCGTCAATCCAATACCCTTCCTACCTTTAAATCCCGCCTATGCAATCATTTCTCATCCATCCAATCCCCATAAAATTGTAAATATATACTGCTGTTAATATGTATATAAATTATTAAATCGTTCTTCATTATTTTTACTTAATGTTTTTTTCATTTTTTTTATTATTAACTGATTAAATTTAGAAAGTAACTTATATATTTTTTTTAATTATGACAATTTAATTAGTCCATATTTTTGTTTATACATCTCTGAGGCTCCTAAGCCTCGGCTAAAGGTTGGTAATTTCTGTCTTTCTGTCTAAAGGGACTCGTCACAGAATAAATAAAGCATTATTATTATTGAAAGGTTCATTATTGAAAATAATACTTTTTTACCTTGTGAATTCAAAACATCATTAAGTGGCATAATTTCTTTAGTTACGATGTGTTATTAACTATACTAAACTAAACAAAACAATATTAAAAAATAAAAAATAAAAAAAATACTGTACTGAGACGCAGAAGGCAGGGAAGTACTGTGTAAGAAAATAGTGTTTCTTGGTTAACAGTTGCGCTAGGGGGTGATTTGATTGAGATCACAATCATATGAGATCACCTCATTCCAAAACTCCTTTATTGCTCGCTCTGTCAATTTCTGGAATTCCCTCCCTATCAAAATTCGACATTCCCCATCCAAATCCACATTCAAAACCCACCTATTCCAATTCCTATCCCAAAAACAGTCAGATAGTTGCTAACCATTCGACAACATACATTTATTTCATGCCATTCATTGTCAAATATCAATGCTATTCCTTGCTAGGGATATTAATTTTCTTATAGGGTAAAGATTTTCCTACTCTTGATGTCACTGAACACATCTATTGATTGTTTATAACTATTATCTTTTATACACCACTAAATGATGATGATGATGTATTTATATGTTAATTAACATTGAAATGATAATGTATTTATATATTAATCAGGCACTTTTATATTGTCAGGTTCAGCTTTCTCTTTTCTCAACAGAAACACAAAGCTTATTTTAATGAAGAATTTAATTTTTTTTTTCTTTATTGTTTTCTTTATGTTATAAAAGTGTATACTGGTCTATCACTGCAATATTTAAGTGTCTTGTCATAGTGTTAATTGTTTTGTATATAGTTTCGTTTGTTTTGTGTTTAGAATGTTTACCTTATATGTTCTTTACATTATTTCTTTTTTTCTATTGATTTTATTTAGGCCAGTAGTAATCTTTTAATTTTGTTCTATTTTGTGTTGTTCTATAGATGATGATGATGATGTATTTATATGTTAATTAACATTGAAATGATAACGTATTTATATATTAATCAGGCACTTTTATATTGTCAGGTTCAGCTTTCTCTTTTCTCAACAGAAACACAAAGCTTATTTTAATGAGAAATTTAATTTTTTTTTTTCTTTATTGTTTTCTTTAAAGTGTATATAAAAGTGTATACTGGTCTATCACTGCAATATAAGTGTCTTATCATAGTGTTAATTGTTTTGTATATAGTTTCGCTTGTTTTGTGTATAGAATGTTTACCTTATATGTTCTTTACATTATTTCTTTTTTTCTATTGATTTTATTTAGGCCAGTAGTAATCTTTTAATTTTGTTCTATTTTGTTATTCTGAAGGGACTTTGTCCCAGAATAAAGTTATTTTCTATCTATCTATACACAAATAGGTTCTAATCATTTTGCATGAGAGTCTTAATCAAAATCGTTAAAGCTGTTTTTGAGAAAATTGTAAAAATGTTTGAATTCAATTATATAATATTAATATGGCACTTTCGGTCAGTCGATTTTGACAAAAAGTTGCTGTAATATTTTAATCCTATATGTAACTTAAGTTTTGTAAGACTTTTTGTTATTGAGTTTTGTACACACATACGCACACACTCGCACGTACACGGCGTGCACACAATAAAACAGACTATTTCACAAAACTTGTTTTTGTTTTTTCGGACTCAAAGAACCTCAAAACGTGTATTTCTGTTGAAAACTTGGATTAAAACGTTCACAATACTTTCCTTACTACATATTTCATATATAGGACAAAGAAAGTAAAAAAAATCAATAAAGAAAAAAAAAAGTACCTAAGGATAAAAATCATCCCTATTGAACTAAATATTTATTATTTATTCTTATTAAATCTGCTATTCATCAATACACTGTATAATAATATAATAAAAAAATTAAAATTGAAGATTACGAAAAAAAAAACTTACTTCTTTCACTGTCATCCTCAATAGATCCCGAAGAACGGGATTTACATAGTCGTCTTCAATATTTTTCTCCTTTTGTTCCTCAGCATTAAATTTCTGGATGCTCTTTGCATAATATTTAACAGGGTCCTTAAAAAATAAATTTTATGACACCAAAAATAAAACAAATCTATATTAATTTGAGCTTTAAATTAAATAAAATAAAATATATAATTCATATATATATTTATTTATAATTCATATACAAAATTGTTCATATTTTGTTTATATTGTTTCTTTTATATGTACATGTACATATGTTCTTTATATTCTTTATAGTCTTCATAATTATATATGCATAATGTTTTTGTCTATTTAATATATATTGTAAATGTAAATTGTAAGTATTTTTTTATTATTACGTTTGTTTTTGTTTTTGTTCACAATTTCAATAATATCAATACAATACAATAAATATGACTATGAAGATATTGTAATATGAATATAATACAATAAATATGAACATAAAGATATTATCAGTGGCTTATCAGTGTTAAGGTCATAAACATTGGCAGATAGCAGTAGTTGGCCATCTGCTATTATACAAGTACCAAAAGGAGTTATGTTTTTGTTTATGTCCACCTCTTCCTTGTCTTTTAGATTATATAGGAATTTTCCCGGACCAGGAGAGAGGGTGGATGATCCATACCAGAGTTACAAACCTCCCTGGTACAGAGTCACGAATTCGTAATTATTTTTATATCTTGTAAACTTCGGTTTGCATAACAGAATTGGGGAGATTTATGGCGCTGAAGCTAAAAAGAACTGGTACTTGAAAAAATAGACTCACTCTAGATTGTTCCTGGAAGGAATCTGTCGAAAAAGAAGCAGCTTACTAATTAATCTGAAAAGAAGCTCACTTAAGAAAATTACAACAGTATATAATGGACACTGTAAACTGAATTGCCACATGTTCAATCTCCGGCTCACGGAGTCGTCTCTCTGAAGGTACTGTGGCCAGGAGGATGAAACGGCTTATAATATTACTTGTTGGTGCGACAGGTTTGCTGGACTAAGATTCCGACTATTCAGCATTGATAGGGTGACTGATCCCAAGGCAAATGAGTTCATCAATCCAACATACTTATTACAAATAAGAGTGACATTAATAGAGGCGTACAATAGGTCTACATGGCCGCAGTGTACTCATGCTGCTTTAAAAAAAAAAAAAAAATCTTTGGTTTATCGTGTGGTTGGCTGCCACGCAACTCATGTTTTCCACACCTATTAGCCTGCTCAGTCATCCCCAAGGAAGTTATATTGTAGATAAAAAAGTCCAACAAACAAGATACAAATATTTACTTTATGAATACTAACCTTCAAAGCTTTAGTTCGCTCAAGAAATTTAGTATATTCTTCAGCAGACATTATTGGATTGATTCGAAACTTGTACTTCACATTTTTATTTCTAGTTTTTACTTCCTTCAAACCAACACCAATGTTGGCGATTATCTTTTCCAGTTCCTGTAATTTAGATAAATGCTGTTAAGAAAATACAAATTTGAATTATAGAAAGGCTCAATATAAAACATAAAAATACATTAATAAAAGTTAAATTAATGATTTTCTGTGGCACGACTTGAAAGATATGAGACCTCATAAATTAGTTTCAATTTAATTAGAAGTCAGTCTAACTTGATTCCTCATTACCGAAATGCCTATATTCTAATACTCGTAAGACAGTAAGACTACTTCTTTTGAATCCTTTCAAATTGTTTTTTAGTAGAAGTTATTTTTCTAATTACATAGTTTATTTTATATACAAAAGAATTAGAAAGTTAGGAATATAACTACCCTAACCTAACTATTTTAAGTCAAGGCAGCCATGCCAAATGTAAACAGGATTGTCAATAGTCTGCTACTTTCGGCAACCATAATAACTTCTGGAAACAATAATATTCTTTGGGTCCAACCTGGTTATAAAGTTCTAAATGGGTCATTTTGATGCCGTTTCCACAGGGAATCACAGACATTAGTTTTGCCAAGTTGATTTCGGTTAGAGAATGCGGGAGCTAAACATATCAAGCCTGGGAAAATAGCTGAGCTTGACTTATGTGTGACATATCTAGGACCATTGTAATCTTTACACTAACTGGGTGAGATTTTGATCAATAATGGCCATAACATAAGAGATGGGAAATTCAATTCTTTTAACTAAACTGATTCACAATGATTCAATCATTAGTGTGAATCAATTCTTATGAATGATTCTTTTCATCTTCTTTTTTTAAATTAAAAAAGAACTTTCTCTTGAAAAAAAAAATAACAAACATTCTCAAACCTTATAGTTATTCAAGCAAAAACATTTTTTTTTTCGACTGATTGAAATAATAATTCATGATTCAAATTTACACAAATAAAAAGGTACAATCTTCCAAGTGATCAACCAGGTATTCGAACGGAATCGTGATTCTTTTGTGTGATTCACTTCTTGAGAGTATAATTGCTTCAGAGGATTTGATTATGAATTCACCTGCTCATCTCAATATAATATTGCTCGTTTCAATTTTTTCTGGGCCAACAGAATGTGGAGCATCATCAATGTCACAATTTCCTAAAATAAATTGATAGGTGTGTTTGGTTAATGCATCGCCCCACAAAAAATTTAAACTTTTTTGTGGACTTCTGTAGCATGCTTACTTTTTTAAAATAATATAGCAAAATATGCCGAAAATGAACAATATTTTCTTTGATATTCACAGCGTAATAGAAAAACAATACTAATCTAATTTTAACAAGGATTTATCGAAATGGTTGTTGACATATTACAGATAGGATTAACAATCCACCTTAAGGAATAAGTCATCAAATATTAAATGTATGGTCGTGACATTATAATAAACAGAAAAACCAAAAAGCTTTATTTGCCAATCCAATATTTTAAAAGGTTGAAACTGGAGAAGTATTTTATCTAGAAATTGACATATCAATCATAATAGATTGGTCACCCCAATGTAAAAGATTCTAATTATATCTCTATAAATATTTAATTCAAGAATAGATGAGATCATTACAAGTTGCAATGGTTCAACTGAAGGTTTGTCTACGGTTCTTGGAGCTGCGGAAAAGTCCATATCCACTGCGTGCTCAACCAGTCTTAAGGAAGATTTGTCCATCACTTGATAAGGTTGTGCATGAATAGGCAATGACATGTCCTGCTGGCCAATGTCGGGTACTGAGACAGACGGCAAATGCGTAGTCACATCCTTTAAACTTTCGGCAAAACGCAATTCTAAGTCTTCCTAAAATTGACAAAAAATCAGTTAACAAATGATTTTCTTAACTCAATAATTTAAAACAAGATAAAAGTAATTAATTTCTGAAAAATTTTAAAACAGAACGATGTTAAATAAAAAACTAAAAAAATTTAAATCAAATAAATAACTCAAAAAAATATTTATATAAACTCTGAAGTAAAGATTTTTTTAAGACAAAAATTTAATATTTATTGGCTTTTCACCACATTCTGAAAACGTAATAAACAAATTTATAGTTGGATATTACATAAATAAATATCGTTAGTTGCATTCCACTCCAAACTAAACAAAACAAAACAGGATTACCGGGTATTGACAGGGGAGTTAAGATAATTGCATTCCATACCAAAATTAAAACCTAATTATTTCAGTATATTAGCCAACTCATCAAGTAGAAGCAGGGTAGCTTCCAAATTGTATTACATAACTTATGGTATGGTATTAATGGGTTGTCCAGAAAATAATGCAGGATTTTGATTTAAAAAGAAAAAAGAAAGATTTATAACTGTTTTATTTAATCGAAATAGTCTTCACTACTATCAATATATGTCTGCCGTGTTGGCAACTTTTCCATTTCCTCGGAATAGAATTTCTCATCTTTAGAATTGATAAACTCCAAACACATTTTCTAATTCCTTTTGTCCATTAAATTTTTTGTAACGCAAGCATGATAATATGATAATACGTAGGCGAGAGGTCTGGAGAGTAGGGCGGATGTGGTAGAGTTTCATATCGAAGATCCAACAGTTGTTGTGACACCACACATGAGACTTGTTGCCGGGCATTGGCATGCAACAAAATGGGCCCTTTCCAATTGACCAAAGATGGCTTCATTATTGCCAATTTCTGATGCATTAATTTGGTTACAATACGATTCGGCATTGATGGTTTCTCCAGGATTTAAGAAGCTATAGGATATCAAACCAAATGAAGCCCACCAAACAGTAACCATCATCTTTTTTTGATGAGTTAGGGATTTTGGAAAATGTTCTGCTGATTCTCCTTTGTCAAGCCACTGTCCAGAACGTCAACTGTTATCGTAAAGTATCCACTTTTCATCACACGCAACAATTCTGGGCAGAAAATGGTTGTTTTTGTTTTGGCAAAGAAGTGTAACACAAATTCATAATGATGGTTTTTTTGGCAGTCGTTTAATGTGGAACCCAACTTTCAAGCTTTCTTGTGTTTCCAAGCGCCTTGATGTGATCAATGACAGTCGATTTGCTAAGGTTAAGTGTCACTGCAAGTTCTCAAACAGTTGTTCAGGGGTTTTGTTCCACTAAAGCCCGCAGAACATTGTCATCAAGAGAAGAAGTCCTTACACGACCTTCTTTGTCTTCAAGACTGAAGTCTTCCTCCCGAAATTTTTTGAACCACTGTTGAACAGTAAACTCATTAATGCTGCTCTCGCCCCAGACTTGAGTGATGTTTCTGGCCGTCTGGGTCCCATTTCGGCTGAGTTTAAACTCATAAAACAAAATTATACGAAAATCATGCGTTGACATCTTAGTAAAGACTGAATTATTTCTAAACAGCGAAATGCTACTGAGGTAAACAAATATTATCGTCTGGAAGAGGATTAATAAGTTTTGACATTCATACAAATGAATAATCCAGTAAATGTAAACAGTTTGTTATATAAAGGGGTATTTAAAAAAAAACTCTAAATCCTGCAGTATTTTCCTGGCAACCCAATAGCTTTGGTAACATTTAATTGATAACTTTTAGATGTCTATTAAATAATTATTTAGTTTATTTGATCTCACTGTCTGATTTTATTGCATGAAAATAAAGAAAAAGAAGGTAATATGGTAATTTAAGATAGTATAAGGACTGTAGATTTGAATGACCTGGTAACAAACATGTTATGGTAATATTAAGAAATCAAAGTTAGTATTAGCAGTCTACTTACAGGGTGGATGGCAGCATCTCCCAGAGAAGAAAGCAATAGCGAATCACTAGAAAAATAAATCATTAACTATAAACTTTTCTACTTTATTTTACATCGAGAAACTTGTTTAGGAATTTGCCCATACCTTTAATTTTCTCAACATTAATATTAATTCCTTTCAATGGGAACCCCTTGCACCATTCATTTATTGCTATCTTTACTTTAGTTCCTTTAATGGCTGCTACCTATACTACTTCATCAGCTTATGTAATCATCTTTACCAGAACTGGGATGGCGTTCCAATATCCCATACTACTAGTGCTCTCGATAATATTGCTCTGCACTAATTATTGGTTGACTACAAGCAGATATTCAATCGATATCATCGTTGTTAAAAATGCTAATAAAAAATGAAGTGCCGCATAAATTAATTAATTTAATACGCATGACCAAGGAAAATGCATCATCCAAACTTGATATTTAAAATAAAGTTGATTGATTGTTTAAGCTGGATTGGTCAGGTAAACCAAATATATGAGGGCAGGGCCTCAAGCATTAGAACAGCTACACGTGAAAATCGGAGACTTCATGTTTGAATGAGTGAACAACTTTATTTATTTAGGCTCTCAAATGAACTTTGACAATAATATACAACAATAAATTAATAGATGCCTAATGGTTTCAAACAGATGCTATTTCAGGGTTCCTATAGACCGTCATAACACTTGTTCTGACCTATGCTTCTTAATGTTGGACGAGCTCAAGAACAAATTCTACTAAGATTCAAGAGGCGGATCCTCAGAAGAATCTTTAGCCCAGTGTTCAGGGATAACGTTTGTCAACAAAGTACTTATTCTAAAATAGGAAGAATGTATAATAATACAAATGTCGTCAGATTCATAAGGATAGGAAGGCTTCGTAGGGCAGGCCATGTTGCTCGAATGAAGAATGATGAGGTACCCAAGAAACTTTAGGAAGAACGGATATACAGCAAGATGAGAGTTGGAAGGCCAAGACTGTGGAGGGGCGATGGAGTGACAGAGGATGCACGGTCCATCCTAGTAGTAAGAAACTGGAGGGCAGTGGCAGTAAACCGAGAAGACTGGCAGTTGATGTTGCAGGGGGCCTTGATTCACCACTGAGCTATAGTGCCGGAAGAAGATTGTTTAATTTGGAGTTCATCAAGGAGACGCCTTATCGGCAATGTTATTCAACATAGCTCTCCCTCCAGGCTGCTATGAAAGATGCTGGCAAATTACTAGGGCTTCATTTGATGACCTAGTAATTGCTGCCAGAAGTTAAAGGCACTTAAAGAGGACTTTGAAATAATATACGAAAATAGTATGAATGAACCATTGTAATCAATCCAGGAAAAGAAAATTAATTCCTCAATCTCATGTCATTTGTTACGCACACTAATATATTACTCAACTCGACAATTATACAACTAGATCTAAGACTTAAGGATTGTGTGTGGGTTCTTAATGACCTATCTAGATTCAATAAGGTAACATTGAATGCTACCCGCAGTCGGATGCTACCCGCTATTAAATAAGTACCAAAAATTAATATAAATTAGTTTACCGCTCAAATAATGCAGCACCATCTACAGCTGAAGGAGGGACAGGTTCAGCCTACAAATCAGGAGATATTAGAAATTTAAATTCAATGAAATAAACATTAATAGAAGATAACATACCGCATCAAAGAAAGATGTGTCGAGGGGAGCATCTCTTGACATTGGTACCTAAAACAAAAAATAAATTAAATAATTGTTCTTGTTTTAATCTTTGTCATTAATCGTATTATTAATAATATGGTGGAGATTATTTTAATTTATAATTTTAATTTATTTGTCAAAGCTTATTTCAGGCAGTGCAGAATTATTTTATAGTAATTTCTCTTTTATAAAAAGACAAGGAAAATGTTGATACCATGTTGATACATAGACATTTTGAACTTTTTAAGAGATAATAACTTAAAACATTAGACATGTTGAACTAATTTAAGTTATATAATCTTATGCTATTTTATGATCATAGTAAACATAAAAAAATTCATAAATTACCTCAGAATCAAGAGTTTCGATGACAGTTAAGACAGGAACTAATTTCTTTGTTTTTCCTAAAACCAACAAAGCTATACATATGTAATAAAATATTCATTATAACAAATTATAAGAATTAAATAAATTCAAATATTTAATTGATGCAATGAAATCATTTCATAACAGAGAAGAAATATAAACATGGACTAAAAAAAAATAAAAAAAATAGCTATAACATTTTATTTAAGATTGAAATGAAAAAATATATCATGTTTATCGCAAAATATTAATTATCATTTCAAAAAATAAATTATTTTGATCAAATTTTTCTTAGTGAAATAAGAATATCGTGCACATAGTATAAGTAGTTTGTAAACAACAAAGTTTGTGTCTCATTTTTATGAAAATATTTTGTTTTTTCATAAAAATTATTTCTAAAATTTAGTTCCATCATAAATGTAAAGCGATTTTTTTTCAATAAACTGGTAAAATATATGCAGTTGGTATTATATTCAATAGAAATATTTTTTAATTATATAATTTGATAGTACACTGCTGCAAAACCTGAATAAAAGAAAAGCAACTTGGTTGTTGGCACACCCAGACCCATTAGTTTTGTCCATATAGTTAAGATACTTAGCTGGATATATAACATAAACAAATAACGTGAGAAGGAGTTGATCGGGAGGTACGGTCAAATAAATACTAAATTATAAAAATAGTATTGATAGACTTCTAGGAGTCTATCAACTGCCTCCTGCAGTGCCTGATGCCACGCCCTAATGAAGACCTGCAAGATGGGTCGAAACGTCAGCATAATAAATTAATAATACTATTTTTATAATTTAGTATTTATTGGACCACAACCCCACCCCCTTTCCTCCGATCAACTCCTCATATTATATCATGGTCACTATATCATTATAAACAAACAACATTTACTTCCTGGACAAATAGACAAATGGTAAATAAAGCATGCAAAACAAAAAGAACAATAAAATTAAATCAAGTTCATAAAATAGTACAAAAATTATTAATAGTTAAGATATTTTAAAAACTAGTAAAAAAAATAAATAGATACAAAGTGAGTGTTTACATAAAAGCAATTAGTCTAGTAACATTTTTTGCCACCAAGAATCATTAATGTACAAACTCATGTTATGTCGGAATACATGGTTTTGTAAAGGAAACACAAAATGTGATTAATTAGAATTTGTACTTGGTCTGCATTCCCCTCCAGATAAAAGCATGCAAAATCCTTAATAATTATTAATGAACTCTAAAAAGAGAATTAGTTTTCAATTTTTTTTAAATTATCCCCTACTTCACCAAAGCATACAGAAGGGGCTAGCCGAACCACAAAACATATTCTACCTTTAATACATAATGTAGAACAGAACATGGACTAACACAACAAAGATTAACTGTCTTCTTCATCTCTCTATTAGAATATAGGAACATTAGTCTTACACCTTATCTTTACTAAAAGGTTATATTAGTTTATGTATTTCGATTTTTTTTTTCATACTTCTTGTTCTATATACTTCTTCTGATCCACTGTCCATTTACTCCCATCATCGTAGTTTTATTTTCTTGCAGTTTATCTTTGTTCCTCGAAAACAAGGTAAGTACAATTTTTTCAAGTAAATTCTTCCTAGCAAATCTCTGAGCAATATCTTTCCTAGGTTAGAAGATATACGACAATATTGAATCCCATTTCAAACAAAAAAACAAAGGATATTACTTCATTAAGTGTCATTCCAACACAGCTGGGCTAATATCACATGGATAACGCTATCAATAAGCCAAATACTGACAACCATATTCACTGGAATATTTAATGATTAATTTAATAAGATCAGAAAGTCAAACTCTCAGCTCTCTCAAGAGGTAGTACATAAACCCTCAAAATTTATTTCTTATCAGGGTTCTTTTCAGTTGAATTCAGTGGCTAACGGAGGAGTCCTTATCAATGGAAATGGATCTCTTTTAAAATTCATCTTCTATAATATAATTTAATTTTAATAAATGTTAGGGGATCAGCCGCCATAATATACTTTCACACACTCGACTATTTTAGGAATGCTATCTACTTCTGATCGGTGTGGTCACCCAGTGATTTTGGAGGGACAATTGTTAACTCTGAGCTAAGATCTGACAAGTAATGACTTCATTTATAGAAAAATAAAGTCTTTCGATACAAATGATAATTTATTATTGACAAAACATGGCTTTAATCTGAAAACAAATTCAGACATTATTAGAATACAAAAAATGAAACTGTCTGAATCGGATGAATAACTGTTTATAATCCAACCTTCTTCATTATAAACTTTAGTAACTTACCACTTTTTTTCTTTGGTTTCCTGCAATGAAATCAGACACAGTGAGATAAAATAAACTATATAATTATTTAGTAAAGATTTAAAAGTTACAAACATTATATCAGCTCTGTCATAAGGAATAGGAACCAATTGCCGTTCTTTGTATTTCAAATAATCTGAAATTAAATCCATGTTAGGTATAACTTATACATAATACAAATATTCCATGTCTCTTTCAACACACACAGAAGGCTTACTTGAATAAAGTCTTTGAATATAATTAATTTGCACATTAAATACAATTGATATGCCTTCCAAAATATTTCTTGCATTATAAATGAGTACTCTACTGCTAGCACATAAAGAAACATCTGGAGCAGGTAAACCTTTAATATATTCTTGAAATTTAAATCTGAAAAAAAAAGAAAAGTAAAATGTCAATGAAACATGAGAGAATATATTCCAGAGATAATGTCACTGTGAATTATTTGCAATACTACTCACAAAATATTGTCAATTTCATATCGAGCTATTTTGAAATCCTCCTGTTTTAATTTTGAAGCTGTATAACTAGGCAAGTCCCTTATTATACACAGAACTTCATCCAGACCGTCATTGAAAATAGTATCGACATTCATGGTTTTGGAATATTATAACAATTTTCTAAGTAAAAATAAATTTTGATAATATCTGTACAAGTGATGTTATCTGTTATGGAAAAGACGCTAAGAAGAAGGCGCCAAATACCATCATCTAATTTATTATGTTACATATTTATTTAAACTTATTCAGTTATAATACGAAATAGACTTTACGATGTAATAATAAAATAATAACTTTATAAAAATAAATGTTTAAAAAAAAATCGAAACTTTTTTTCTTAATTATTAAATATATTTTTAAATGTCATGTTCAAATTCTAGGCGGTGGTTCTTTTCTCAACAAATTGCTAATACCAATGATTATCCCTTATAATATAGCACATTTTCTGTTCTAATTACCTTTTAAATTAACATCCATATTAATGAATTTTATTTAATATAGTTTTTGTTACGAAATTATAAAGAAAATAATATAGTTTACTTTGTCAAAATTTTTGTGATTATATTCTATAAAGATATACTAATAATGACTTAATATTACAGTCCGTGGTACACAACCCTTTTAATCAAATTATTACTATCCGGCTGAAACTTCGTAAATAGCTTCTTCTCATCGTAACCTACAAATATTTTATTTGCAAGAATTCTCGGAATTAAATCGTTCTCAATCTGGAGGTCGGCAAACTTTGTCTATTTAAATAGGTACTAAAAACTCGTATATATCCATTTTCTTACCACTTGAATCGTAAGATAACTTAAGCACAAAGTCAAGAAAAAAAGTGGCCTTCAAAAATATCGAACCATTTGGCGTGACCTAGACCCGCAAATTGTGAAAATAATGAGGTTATACAGACCAAGCGGCGCAATATTTTTGAAAGCCACCTCTTTTCTTTACTTTATGCTCCAGCAAATGGGTATTTACGAGTTTTTAGTACCAAATTAAATAGACAAAGTTTGCCGACCTCTAGATTGAAAACGTCCCAATTCCAAGAATTTTCGTAAATATAATATTTGTAGATGAGATGAAGCTGTTTACGAAGTTTCAGTAGGATGTTAATAATTAGACAAAAAGGGGTCTGTGCCATGAATGAAAACTATTTTCAGATTCGATTTATGTAATATAATCCAAAATAAGTCGTAGTTATTAAGTTGTTTTGTTATTAAATGCATAATATTATCAATTGTACATCATATCTATGTATCATTCTTTTATTTGTTGGTCTAGGACCTATCCTTTTGTTATACCTTTGTTTATATATGAGTATGTAACATCGGTGACGTCTTAAAATAAAAGTAAAATATAGAACCAACGAGCTTAAATCTTTTATATTATTTTTTTCTGCCTCTGCTCTGCGTGGATTTCTTGGTAATAATATATCATCCAATTTTTTTTGGAAAATGAAAAAAGCATATTGCTCATTGTATTGAACTAATTCAATATTTAACAAATAACAAAAATCAAAAGATACGTTCAAGAAAACTTACCAAGTAAATGTTTGTCTTGAAAAACAATTCAGATTCATTTCTTGCGTTCTTTAAAACTATTTGTTCCGAATTTCGAGTATCATTGGATATAGCTTCTCCTATGAGTATCTTTGTAATAATTATCTTCGTTTTAAGGCCTCTTACACGGTCAATATTATTGAGTAAATATCGAATTTCGTCAATATATTGACCGTGTAAGGGTTACATTCAGGTCAATCAAACTGGTTGATTTCATTTTTTTATTTAAACTCCTTTGATATTATTGAAATAACCTGTACCAATTCAACCCATGAAGGATCTTGGGTTCAGTACTATTCAGGGAAAGCACTGTTTCTAGGTCAACGGTTGTGCAAAGGAGGTGATTTGACCGAGATCACGCTCAACCACCAGGTTTTCTCTCTTAACCAATTATATAATTAAGGGTGCTCACTTTATAGAGGCTGTGTGTGCCCCAGGAGGGCCTACCGACCCAGAGTCATTATATGTTATAATGAAATAGATAAATAAATTTTCTGCCATGAGACGGGGTTCCTATAGAGATATTACTGTAATTTTTTAGATAGGAGAAACCTAATTAAGCCCGAATGAAAAATTAGAGGAGTTAACTACAAAAATTTTGGATATGCCAATTATTAACATATAGTAACTAAAATTGTCAAGTATTAGTCACTATTTTGGTTTAATTTTTAATTTAAAAAATCGATTTTTTTTTTACCAGTCCTGATCTTGGCCTTGCAATAGTTAGGCGGCCTTAATCTTTGGCCGATTTTGGGCCAAACTAGTTTGTATCGACTTTAATTATTTTAGAAAGAAAAAAGAAAAGCGGAGAGTACAATTCGCTAAACCTCCGTGAAATTCTGAATCCAGCGGTACCCCATTCATGGTATTTTAGTATGAGAGGAACTTATTTCTTGTACAAAATCAATTTAACTAGCCTCAATGTAATAATACGAGGTGGGGATAATATGAGCACTCATAAATTATCAATACAAAGAAAACGAAAGAAAACAGGATTGCCAGCTGTTCATCTACATTTCTACTGATCACCTGTGCATGGTCACGTAAACAAGTTATTCAACCTTTATTTTTGTTTTTATATAGATTCTATTTTTAATATTAATAATATATTTGTTTTCTAGTATCATTATTTTTAATCAGAGTACCTTATTTTCGTTTATTAGCAGTTCTTATTTCATTTCATTATCAATCGAATGTAAAATTGATTTAATTTTTTTCTATTAATTATTTGTGGTTATGGAAAAAAATAAATGCTTAGTTCAGGTTTTGTTTTGTTCCATATAATACAGCCCATTATTTTTTTTGTATTTAAGATTGATCCGAACTGAAGAGGATGGTATGCCACAGAGCACACCCTAACTTGGAAAGCCTCAAACAATCTCTGGTCCGAGCCACTAGCGGATCCAGGATTTAATTTTTGGGGGGGGGCTCCAGCCCGAAAGCTTTTTTTTTCATAAAAATAACGATAATTACTTTGGAAAAAAAGAAAGAAACTAACTACCTGTATGAAGTGGTGTTTAAGTGATTCCTAAAGCTCTTTTAATATTAATCACACGAACAATAATACTTTAAGAGATACCTTTTTTATATTTTTTTCGATAAAACATGGTTATATTTTGCCATTTTGGGGGGGGGGGGGCTTCAGCCCGAAAGCCCCTCCCCCCCCGTAGATCCGCCCGTGGTCCGAGCAGTTGAGCTCTTTCCTCAAGAAGTGCTACGTGCTACTATTGATGACTGGCCACGGAGATTAAATGGTTGTGTCTAGGCAAAAGGGGGACATTTTGAATAATTTCTTTTTTGTTATACTCTCTATAGTTATATATTTTATTTTCTAACAAATTTTTTGAAAATGTTAATTTTCCTGTTGAAATCTGTATATATTTCCTTGTAATAATATTTATGACAGAACTAGGTAATTGTTTTCTTTTTTTCAAATGCGTTAGATTAACTTCGTTTTAAGTTTTCACGTAAAACTTGGAGGGAAATTAATTAGTGTTAATTCTTCAACTTTGTGCAGTGTTTTTATAACTTTTCAAAATCTGAGCTCCACTAGAAAATATAAAATCTGATTTTTCGAAATCTGAATTCGACTAAGGACGTCATGATTATTACCTTAAATGATTATTAAACAATTTGCTGACCTCACAGATCTCATTACTAGGTCGCCTTTTCAATATCACATTTCCTCATTTTTTAGAATTATCTAATTAAAATAGGAAAGATCATTTGAAAAAAATATGTGAATAATAAATTGTATCCAGTTATTTCTTATTTAGAAATTCATTTTTTTTTTTATATAGGAAGTCTGTCAAAACCTTTATAATTAAACAAACCTTGAGAATAAGGAAAACACCAGTAAAAAATATTTTTAGAATTGGTAAAATATAATATTCACTTTCACAAAATAAATACATAATATGTATCATCTTCCCCAGAAAAATGTAATTTATTTATCTTAAGCTGTTTTACATAAATCAATATTTAATTGTTTATTTTATTCAATGTTTCTTTAATTCAGTTGCTTTAGTAATAGGGTTATTCTAATTACATATTTTCTCCATATCTGTCAAATAGGGGATGAGAATGTTAATTGTATATTTTAGCATTTCATGTTGAAGTTAAAAGAGCTACAAATTTATTTTTATCAGAAGATATTTACCTTATGTTGAAACATAAAAAAAATAAAATAAAAATAATATAAGAAAAGGAAATTATTATGTAAAGATGCTATATCCAAAACAAATAAAACTATAAGCAAAACACTTACAACTAAGTATAAAACTGTATACAATGGTAAAACATTAAAAATGTGCACTTTAAAAGAGAGAAAAAACAAAATAAAATAAATTAAATTCTTCTTATTAATAAGTTCTGAGTTCTCACTAAGAAAAAAGCTGAATCTGTTCATATAAAATGTCCAAGTTTGTAATAATAATAATAATAAGACTTAGCGAACCCGAATGTTCGATACCGATACCACCAATCGATGTCCACATTCTTTCATCCACGAAACTTCGTCTAAACCCAACCCCGCCAAATCAGGCTTAACGCAATCTTCCCACCTTCGCTTTGGTCTAGCCATCGGACGCTTTTCAGTCGGTACAGCGCATATTAACATTTTAGGAATTCCTTGGTTACTAAGCTCAATTATTATGCGCATTTTATTCGTCTCAATTTAATCATCTAAATTATATTAACCGGATACAGTTCACGAAATTCAGCGTTGTGTAACCGCCTGACTCGTCCTTTTCCGGTCCAAATATTCTGTGAAATACTTTATTTTCAAAAACCTTAAGACGTTGCTCATCTCTTAATGTAAGCGGCCACGTTTCGCATCAATAAAGAACCGTAAGAAGGACCATGGTTTTGTAAATTCTAATTTTTAAATTTCGGGACAGGAGGCGCTAAGTAGTTTCGACAACGAAAAATTACATGCATTTCGATCCTTCAGCCTAACCTTAATATCCTCTTCAATTTCATTTTTCCTAGTTATCGTAGACCCTAGATACTTAAAATTGTGTACGTGTTAAAAT